CCTTTCAGGAACTGGCACTTTGAGTTTGTTTAGGTGTGACTCAGAGAGAGAGAGTATCCAATCTGGGATCTGACTTCATACTCAACCAGTTATTTATTGGTGATGGTCTGTGAGTTGCCTCCAATTCCAGACTACATTTTTAAAATGACAGAATAATCAAAATTAATGTTTCCAGAATCTGAAAATCCCTGTCTAACCCATTAAAGCTTAGACCATTACAAATCCACTTACAGTATGAATGTATTATGCAAAAAAAATTAGCAAGTTCTTCTTAAATCAGTTGTAGCTGACTGGATTTTTCTGCATTTGTCTAACTTGTAGAAAGAGACATTTGGTATTTGGATGACTCTTGTTAGTATAGCTGCAATGGTTGGATTTTTTTTACAAGTCTGTGCCCATACTGCTTGCTTTCTAAAATCCAAGAACCTGTTAAGAAGCAGAAAGACTATTAAATTCTTTCAAATGTAACAAGTATATCGCACAGAGGAGATAGGATTGTAATTGTTTCGTTTCTTCAATGAAAGACAATGCAGAAATTGATTTTTAATTGCATATGAAAAAAAAACATTTGATAATAGAACCAGCGGCAGAATGCTGTAACTCGGTGCTTTTCTCTTGCTGTCAGTCTGTAATTGTGGGTTGGCCTATGTTTTCAAACGCATTTAGAAAATTAATTGAGAGCAAAGAACACGGCATTGTGCTCAGAAGTACTTAGATTCACGTGAATAATTAGATGGGAGATATTGTGATTCTTAGTGATGCCCATTAAGAGTTGCTGTCTTCACTTTAATCAATTTTAATTAAACCTGCTTGTGTGAGTGTGAGTCTTCTGCATCTTCCTGCCCTTGTTACTGGAAGATAGGATTCTTTTGCTTTAGAAAGATACTCCTATAGTGTGTATGATCCAAAATCTGTACTTTTGTTCTATCGTACTATAGTGTGTTTAGGATGGTTAAAAAGCAGAACTTTTTATCCTTACCTGGCACATACAGTATGCCCAAGAGCATTTTGGGCATTTTGAGCAAGTCTCAGAGGAAAGCACTGGGTATGTGAAGGCAGATTGCAAAAGATTTAGGGTTGATTTTTCTGTAATATACAGTATATATATATGGCAGTGAAAAACGTAGACAAATAATGTACTTCTTGTCACCACAACATGTTTTGTATGTTTTGTAAAGCCCCTTGGCTTTAATTTAAAATCCTTAAAGATTACAACCAATCTTAAATTAGTATTCAACATAATAACAATGTGCTTTATTATTATAATTATTTGTTGTTTGGTAACACTGTATGGCATAGTACTCATTTACAAAAAAGAATAGTATACATAAACATAAGTGCTTATTATAGTTGTGCAATATCACAAAATACTGTTTATACAACTAAACAAAACAAATAGCAAAAGAAGTTAAAATACTGAAGATTTAACACTGTTCACAAAGACACCTTCACAACAGAGGAGCAGGTACTTTTTCCGTTACATGGCCATTGGATTCCTTTTTTCACCCATCGTCTGATTTTTTGTATAACCTCCCAAGGCTGGAGTTTCAACATTCCTGTTAAAGCAGAGGCTCAACCCAGATGTCCAGGTGGCTGAGTCCATAATGGCACCTGTTTTGAGTGCAGGTTAGGCCTACTTATCTAGAATTGCCAAATCCGAATCTGAGCTATGTCATAGGACAACCACAACAAGGATTCCCCAAGGAACGGGCCAATAGATTGGCAGATTCCAGCTGGAAAATGACCAGGGCTGAGCTGGCAAGGCAACAAAGGCAATGTATGCATGTATGCTTGCAGTCCTGCAGTCAGACAGGTCCATCCGGGCCTCCTTTATTGAGTCCCCTTGCTGGCGTGGTGCTCTGCAGTGCCAATAAGATTACAATGGCCCTATGGTCTTAATGAACATGAGTTCAGGGGCTTTCCATGTCTCCTAGGGAAATTCAAGAGCTACCGCAGGGAGATATTGATTTGAGAACTGGCCAATGCAAAATGAGCAAGGTAAAAATGGGCTTTTAAAACAACCCAAAAGGGAGCAGCCGTGATCCATCAGCAATTTTATGTCTGGATTATCAGCTCCGCATGTACCGCATTGCTTCATTGATGGTATTTCGCAGTTCTGAGACTGCAATCATACAGCAGTGCTCAACGGCCTTTCTTTTCCAACCTTACATATTCATCTTCTAGTCATTGCAGGTGTAATCAGGCGAGTTCAAAGGTAGCAGTGTGCACTGACACCACAGGGAACAACTGACTATATCTGTCTGTTGCTGTTACAATGTGTCCATTGAAGCCAACGGTCAGGTATACACTGGCAGTGTGAGGCTCTGTGTATTAAACACATACATTAGCTTTGTAATGCAATGGGCATTTTATTTTATTTTTAATGACAGCATCCCAATATTGTGTACCAACTGTCCACTACCCCCAGAAAAACTTAAAGATGTCTAGAGGGGTGCTATCAAGCTCACTTATCATACGTCTCCTCAGAGAGGACATTAAAAATAATAATAATTGCTTACACTTATCTAGCACTTTTCTGGACAATCCACTCAAAGCGCTTTACAGGTAATGGGGACTCCCCTCCACCGCTACCAATGTGCAGCATCCACCTGGATGATGTGACAGCAGCCACAGTGCACCAGAATGCTCACCACACACCAGCTATCAGTGGGGAGGAGAGTGATGAAGTCAGTTTGTACAGTAGATGGGGATTATTAGGAGGCCATGATGGGTAAAGGCCAAGGGGGAAATTTGGCCAGGACTTCTCTTTTCGAGAAATGCCCTGGGAATTTCAATGACCACAGAGAGTGAGGAGCTCAGTTTTATGTCTCATCTGAAAGACGGTTCCGTTTGACGGAAAGTCTGATATCTGACGGAAAATGACTGAAATGGCTGAAGTGGACTACTGGTTGATGAGGGCACGAGTCATGTAAACACTGGGGTGTGAAGCCACTTGGATCCTCTTTGCTGTTGTTTAGGTCAAAAGTCATTTCTAAGATGGAAGACTCAAAGCTTATTTTTAAAGAGAAGAAAGGGGTCTGTGTTCTTATGTGAGCTCCAGTCTGAAAGGTAATTTCACAGCATGGGGGCTGGGGTTATGACATAAAAATAATGGAATTAAAACACAATTTCTGATCAGTACATGGTATTTCTTGTCATATAGTTCTGGAATATGTTGTCTGGCTATACAGTTTCACCGGTGTCTGTGCTATACGATTGGTAACAGAGAAAAAAAATGAAGAGTCTGAGGCGTTTGCCTTATTATACATCGCAACAGGCAGTGGAATGAGATACACTTCAGAGATGGAACCAGTTTTAATCACTGTGCAAAAATAGCCATGTGAGAAGAAAACACACAACAGGAGCAGTTGAGATTTGACTTAATGCATATTGGCATGTTTTATTACACCCCTACCAGCTCTGGTAAACCAGCAAGCAAACCAAAGAGGTTTTTAACAGAAGTTCGGAAGGAGGTCAAATTCCTAATCTCATCCACTTCCGCTCTACTACGTATAAATATCTCTCCTGCGCTCCCACTGGGTGCTTCTTTCCCACCTCCTCTCTACATGCTATCTTTACCCTTCATGTTCCCTCAGACAGGCGAGTTTCGCCAAACAGATTTGAAATACATGATGTTTCAGACTCGCAAAGCACTTCACTTCTTTTGTCGCATAAATTAGGATCTGGCCGAGATACTGAACTGACATTTAGAAAGTGCTGATAGGGGGAATGTCTGCAGTGGGTCAGATTCTGGAGGACTGTGGACCCAGTTGAGAGTTCTGCAGGGTAGGTCTCTGATTTATACTGCAGCACTTTAGGGCCCGGACCGTTCTGCAGTGCTGACACACCAGTGACAGATTTTAGCCCTGCTGCATAAATTTCTCCATCCTGTAGGGAAGGAAATGCTGAGCGTGAAACAAGTCAAGAGAGGAACCTTCCAGCCTTGGGAGGGTAAATGAAAAACTGAGCAGCCACCAGTAAAACTGGACATCATAAATAGAAACATGAAAATTAAACCATTTCCTAAATATGTACCGTGCACAGACATGTAAAGCAGCAAAAACAAGGTGAAAATACAATAAAATCTGATAGACATGTGCAAAGGAATTTGGTCAGTTTGCATAGGAATAAATGTGGGGATCGCAACAGAACTGTTCCCAAAGCAAGACCTTAGTGTGGCTACAGATTGCTAGTCTGGTTGACAATTCCTAATACCTTGGTTCTTGAAATCTAGGAGATTCTTGTTACAAATCCTTGACTTACAGTCTCATTTTAGAATTTAAATCTGATCGGTTTTGGTTTCAAATGATCCAGAGATTTTTCCTGTTCTTGTTTCACATTAATACACCAAAGACACCCTGGATCTGTGCTTTGGGGAAAATCCCACCCAGGGAATCAGTGCAATCATTTCACACCCTGTTTCCAATCCACACTGGTGCAACAGATCCCCTCCTTCCCCATTTCAGCCACAAGGACTGAAGAATCGTACATGTTCTTTGGTCCCACTAGCATCACTTTTACCTTATAGACTTCAATGTCATCTTGCTTCTAACCAATAAAATATAAATCAACATTAGTTTCCAGGTTTATTTCCATATCCAGAAATCCTTTTGCAAAGCAGCACTTTCTGTTTACCCTGAAAGTTGAGTTACTACTGTACATTAATTCATCTAGCTCCAGATATGCATAATGGATGAGGTCTCCATTGAGAGATGCCAGTGATGCTCTTAAAATCCCCCCATTCAAAAGAAATTCTGGAAGGTTTGAGGGCTCTAAATACTTACAGACTTTGCACACATTCTGTAAGACTTAAAAGTCCTTGAGCCCTCCAATCAAAGGAGTCTAGCAGAATTATGATTTAGTAGTAGACTAAATATTTTACAGAAGGAACTCTGGGTGTGAAAACAGTCAAGGAAACTGCATTTTTAATGTTCAGAGGCCTTCATTTATTTTTACAAGAAATGATTGATCTCAAAAAGTCCTTTTTTTTCTTAAAACTCTCCTCTATGAAGATATTTCTCTTTTTCCTGTAATTTTATTTTCCCCTTGTTTCTTATTTGAATATTTCATCTCTTTTTCCCAGCTATGCTTGACTGATCTGTTCTTCTTAAGGAAGCACACAAGTGCTACCAGGGCAGACTATGTCACTGTTGTACCCATCACAATACTGAATGGGTTCAGAACAAAGTGCAATGTTACATCACTTCCCCACCACATTTCCTTCCAATTGGACTTCAGCTTGAAGTCTTCCTTTAAAGAAGTGACTAGCTGGCACTGAAGAAATGACAACAGTTCTATAATACACCCTCAAAGGGAATGGAAAAAGTATAAACTAAAAACACAGGAGAGGAATAAGGCAGGGGAACATGTATTATTCATACTGTTCTGCAGTCCAGCCAAACATTCACTGAGCAGTGGTCTGACCAGTTACTAATGGCCTGACAATGACACGTATGGAAGTTTAAAAAGAAACTCATTTAAACACCATTAAACACCATGGTTAAGAGCGAGTTCAAAAACCAGCATTCCAATATGCAACACATTACATTTTAGCCACCATATTGAATTATGGCTCTCTTACCTGTAAGGTATTTCCCATTTTCTCTTAATGTTTTAATAGTATATAATAAAATAAAGTCAAACCAAGAAGAGGACCCTTGAATATTGGGTTTTAAAGCTGAAGAATTTACTCTTTGGCTTGGAGTTGTCACCAGCTTTGCCATCAGCATCCTGAAATCTTGACAGAACAAAAGCAAAAATGTTCATTTCTCACAGATAAATGTCCAAAATACCATTTTGTTTTTTTTAAAAAGTCATAACATTACAGTTCGGAGGAGAAAAAAAAAACTGAAGCAAATGTTTAAATTTGCTTGTCGTCTTCCTTTGGCATTTTCTCAATAGAAAAACAGCTGATGCCCAGGCTGATCAGTTCTGATGACAGCGGAATAATTGCCCTCGACTTTGGTTATTTTGTTATTTTTGGGTATTTTCCTTTTCCCCATCTTCTCTCTGTCCAACGTCATCTCTGGTGCAGACAATTAGAGCCACAACTTTCCTTTTCCGCAAGTTATCTTAATTACATAACTTACATAATCTCTATGGTAACCCAGAAAACCACAGATAAGTGGCAATGAGCAGATAAGGTGTTCTTTTGTTGATATTTCTTTAATATCTGTAATCTTCTTTGGCAAGAGTGTATTTGTTGAGCCCACTGAAAAAACTTTGCACACATTTTATAAAATTTAGTTTCAAAAGTAGAGGGGCTATTTCTCATTACTGGGTTCCAGAATTTCTAATCTTACATCTGTATCAGTTAATCGCTTGGCACAATATATTCTATACTTTTTTAGATATGTTTTCACAGTTCCTGGAAGCTCCAACACTAACCTTAAATTTAAATCTTTTAAAAACTGCTTACAAATGTTCTCTGATTTAGGTTATTTTATTTTATCAACAAAGGATTACGTTTTGGGAGTAAATTCTGTTTTTATAATTGTGAAAGATTACTGGCTCTGCTTATGTCATGATTTGTAAATTGTATGCCAGCAGTGGGAATTCAGACTGCAGTTGACCAAAACCTCAGATTTCTTCAACTGATGCTCTGTATATTTCTGGTTATGGCCACTAGGGGGCCACCCTTTCAGAGACAAATGTTGATCTGCTTGCCCAGTTCCCTCTCCAGGTCAGATATCAGTGTGTCAAAGTCCTTCAGACTGAGCCTGGTGGTGAAGGGGGCATCCAGGTCAATGTCTTGGGGGTCAAGGGTGAAGTCACTCACATACAGGGGCCTCTGAGGGTCCCAGTCCCTCTTTCCTAGTTCACCTCTTCCTTCCTCTTCATCGCTGTCAGTCCCTGCTACTTCATCATAATCTGCCTCAGGCATAGAAAGGAAATCCCGTCCACACACGCTCCAGTCGCCAGCGTAGCGGTTACAGGGCGGGCTCTCCAACCGACCACGTCCCCTCCTGGAGACCACTGAGTCTTTTGATAGGTCCAGCCTCAACACGGGTCGCTGATGCCTCCTCAAAGAATTCTGGGATACTGGAGGTTCAGGGTCAGGAGGATCAGGGGCTCGTCCTTTAGGGACTGTTTGAGAGAATGAGAGAGAGAGTGCTCAGATGTATCAGGGATAGGCAAGCTAGGGTCTTCTGGTAGGTTGCACAGGGTATTGATCAAACCAGTGCCATGGAAAAAGAATTACTTCTTAATTTAATTGGCCCTGCTGCTGAAGATCACTTAAGGAAATAAGGATCAGATGAAAAAAAAACTTAAAGAAACAGAATAAAGTCACTAAGGTCTGTGAACCTTAAGGTATAGCACAGGCTTTTGAATTTTGGTTTGTGCCAGGACTGTTTTTAATTAACACAAAAAATTATAAAATGCCTGTAATAAAACAACTTGACAAAGTAGCACACGTGAAAAGTGGAAAATAATTATTTTGTAAATAAAGTAGGCAACATATGAGAAGGTGCAAAGAATATTCATTCATAAGAGGGTGTCCAGAGATACCTTATAGACAGTTTAATGGATCCCCACTAATAAAAGCAAGACTTTGTTATGGTACTGTGCTCAAGGCACAATGAAAAAGAAAATCCATTCATCCATTTTCTGTTTGCTTCTTACAATTCAGGGTCACCTGTGGGCTGGAGCCTATCTTGGCAAGCAGTGGGTGCAATGCAGAGTTCATCAAGAATGGGACATCAGTCAGATCACAGGGCACACAGAGACACAGGCACAAACTAACACTGGGGTCCATTTTCTTGGGTGCCAATTAACCTACCAGTATGTTTTTGGACTGTGGGAAGAGTTGGACTGTGGGCATACCCAGAGGAAACTCAAGTAAACACACAAAGAACATACAAACTCCACACAGATAGCACCACAGGTCTGGAATTGAACCCAGAGCCCCAGTGCTCCGAGGCCACTGTGCCAACACAGTGCGCTTTAAAACATATACGTCTACTTAAGCAGTGCAGTCAAAATAAAACAAGGGACAAAACACTTAGAGACATACAGTAAACAAACACTGTACTCCATGTACAATGGATAAACAATCACAGTGTGGTACAGCGTTCCTTGTTGAGCAGAAAAGAAGAATCCGAGCCCCAACAAAAGACAATGATCCAACCCACACATAACAGGACACGCGACTGGAACTGAAAATTGCAGGAAACTGCACTACAGGAAGTTTGATTCATTAGAAATAAAAATATCCTGACCGGATTGTGCCAAGTCAAGGGGGCACCTGGGTTTCTTGCATGGATTTGAAAGGAAATAAAGCAGGTGGCAGGAAAGAAAAGACCAATGTTGTAAATCACAGCACAGTTATGTTCTAAAACATAGTCCTCAGGGGGCCTTTCAACAAATAAACACACTTATTTAATCACATTATTATTATTATTATTATTATTATTATTATTATTATTATTATTATTATTATTATTATTCAAGAGATCTAGTCAAGACATCTTATCTGAAGCAACGGCTAAGACCAATAGCCCAGAAACTGATGCTTCAGTCTACCTATGACTATCAATCTCTAAACACCAGCTCCCAATTCAGTGAGCACCCACAGAGCTAGCTGCACTGGAGCCATGGCTGAAAACCAGAACCCACTTGTGGCTTGGTGCCGGTTGGACTTTCAGGATTCCCACTAAGAGCTGCATTGTTCCTCGTAAAAATGTTAACCTTGACATGGGCACTGTGGGTCCATGCATGAGAAACAGAGGGCAGTTCTGATTGTGCACACCTTCAGAGAATAGCACTGATACAGACATAGAGCCAAGGTGATTTACAAGTGAGGATCACATGAGGCAATTTAGAGCACTGGACTCATTGAAATCAAAAGCCTGTCGACAAGGGAGGACCGGACCCGCAGGACACTCACGTGGCCACAGCTGTAGCAGGTAGTGCAGGGCCTCGATGTGCCTCTTGAAATCCACGGCGCTGGCGATCTCCTCGCTGTGGGCAAAGCTGCGCCCCCCTGGCCGCCAGGGCTCCTGGGTGGGCGTGAGCAGCACGGGACCAAAGCACACTGCCAGGTTCTGGCAGGTCATGCGGTTGCACTCGCTGTAGGACGCCACCAGGCTGAGGTGATCCAGGAGCACCGTCAGGGTGGCCTGGACCAGTGAGAGAAGAAAAGGGAGGCAGACGTTTCGATTTGGCATTTTCTGGATTTCAGAGGTGCACAGTCTGGACCGTCTTGTGCAAGGCACAACCCCAGGCACAAAACAGAGCAGACACAAACACAGCAGTTAACCAAGAGCCTGGCCTTGGGCATCAAGTCAAGTGTGTATCAAGTCAAGTTGTCAAGTTGGGCGTGTTGAAGGGCCATAGAAGGCAGATAGGCCTTGTAGGTAGGTTGATCGTATGTTGTGTGTGGGATGGGGGGGAGGAGAATGGACGATTGAGCTATGTTTGGAGGAGGAGCGAGAGAGGAAGGGAGATCAATTGTGGACAGCATGGGGGGAGAGGAATTAGCCAGGGGAGGGACAACAAACGCACAAAGAGAGAGGAGGGGGGAGAAAAGGGAAAGGGATGAAGAATCCAGCAGCTAGCAAGTTTTTTTTTTCACTACTACATATTTATCGTCCTCCACAACATATTTATTATTATGTCGTTATTATTATGTTTGGAATGTACTGTCTACATTATGTGGTGTTCTCTGTTGTACTGTGTTGTCTGCTGTATTGTGTACATCCTGAGAGATCAGTGCGAATAAGAATTCCAATGTACTGTACATATGGCAATGAACTCCTCTACTCTATTCTCTACTACAAGGGATGGGACCAGAGAAAGAGAGGAGGGTGGCAGAAGAAAATGGAGAGAGGGGGACACAAAAGAAAATATTGAAAAGGACGGAAAGAGAGGGACTTATTTTTCTCTTGGCTACACTTCTGACTTCTTTGCTATGTAAACAATAAAAAGGTTAAACTGAAAAAGACTTTTTTTTCATTGAAAAAATATTTTTAAATCATTTATCTCAAGAGCGGTTCCTTCCCACCTCTCTGGACGGGGGGCATTTGATCTTACCAGCAAGTGAGCCTGATATACAGTAGCTGCTTTTACTTGAACATAACGCTGCGTGTTTATGGAGTTCTGTTTTGCGCTACAAATACTCCAGGGTAGAATGACACAGGGCAATTACATAATCATATAAAAATGTTGATTTCCCAATGCGTTTGCCATCAATCTATTTCATGTTAACCGTTATAATAAGTGAAAATTAGTTTTATTTAAAAAATAATTCCAGTCAACTAAAACTGGACAAAAAACCTGAAAACAAAAGGATGAAGGATGGCTCTCCTCTGTTCAGCACCCAGAGTGCAATGCTCAATCTTACAACTGTTAGAAACGTGCACCGTGTCAATCTGTGTCTCCATTATTAGAAAGCCATATTCCAGTCATCAAGTCAGGCAGTCATCAAGTCTGAGCATAACCCTGTCTTTAGCAGCATACATCCACATTGTCATCTGTCATTCCCCTAGGACATACCATCCGATAAAATACATAAAACCCACAAATCCAAGAGGTTTTGGCAGTAGAGAAGAAAATATTCTCAGTATTAATTCTTCTCAAGAAGGGCTTGCTTAAGAGAAGGCATAGCATGTTCTCGTCGACAGAAAGATAAATTATTACCCGATTAAACAAACACTAAAAACAGCTCGCAGAGGAAGTGGTTTGTGGGGAAATGTAACATTCCATTCTGTGCAAGGCTGCCAGGCAAAAGAGGGGGGGTGGAGGTCGGGGTTGGTTGGGTGAGAGGTCTGGGATGTTTGGGATGGAAAAGGAATGAGGCTTCTCAAAGCAGGCATGACAGAGCAGCTTTCTCACTCCTCTGAATCCCTCCTTCGTTCTCTCTCTCTCTCCGCCCCTCATTTCTCCAAATTCCCATTTACTCCCTCCTGGATTGGAGATGGCGTAAAAGGCAACAACGTCCATCCAAATATCCAGGGAGCCACTTTTCCCAGCAAGATAGAAGTTACGTTGGGCTAGGATGTCACTCCAAAGGACCTATAACACTACAGGAACATTAGGTTCTGGAAAATTCCTCAGAGGCTCAGGGAAAACCCCAGTAAAGAGGCTGAGGCACAGTGTTTTTGGTAACATTTCTCTCCATCTCTCCTTCCACTCCTTTCCCTCTGCCACATCCCTCCCTCTCCCATTCCTCCAATGGAAACTGAGTGAGCCCCTGATACCGATTCTCAATAGACAGCTCTTACCTTCTCTGCCTCGGGCAGACAGTCTAGCAGGGTGACCGTGTGGGCGGAGCGCTGGGCATCTGACTCCCTCTTACTGAGTGTGCTCTTGGGGGGGCGTTTGGTCATGGCGTCCAGGACCACCTCGTACAGGGTCCTGGTGATGAGAGGGGAGGGCAGCTCACGCAGGTAGTCCTTCAGAATGCCTGTTGAAAAAAACAGAGCTGTATGAGAGCAAACCCACTAAGACTCCCTTCCCAGCTCAGACTGCCTCACTCACAGGTGTTCACGAGCTGCAAACTCTTACGTAAAGTAACACTGTGCTAGATATTTGATGTTTCTTGACATACTATAAGTACATTACAGAAAAACATGAAAGAAAAATAACAGTAATGTGTGCACAGACCAAGATGGATAAGTACAGAGCACTGTGAATTTAGAAGTTATTTTGAAACTAAAGATGCTACTGTACGTTCCGAGGTAGAAAGTTTGCTTTTTAACAAGGAAACCTTAAGGGTCAAAGCCAGCTCTGTCAGTGTATGTTCATGCACAGAGACAGACAAAAAAAAGATGTGTCATGGAATTTTACGTGATTTTCTTAGGATTCAATCATTTTTTATTCTGTTATTGAATAAAATAGAACAAGTGAACAGTGGCAACCACAGGTCAGGGATTAAAACATGTTCAGTGCAGTCGTGTAGGTGGAGTGACAGCGTAAGATCCTTGTATCATTTAACTCTGAATTACCAAACAGACTAGAAAGGATAAATGACCACCTCCTCTCATTTGTAACCTTTTTCATGTTCTTATATTAAAACCTGGGTATCAGTGGTTGTGCAGTAGTTATCACTGCTGCCTTGCAGTGCTGGGGCCTTGAGTTCAATTCCAGACCTGGGTGCTACAGTATACGAGTTCTCCTTGTGTTCATGTAGGTTTCTTTCACAGTCCAACAACACACTGATACATTAACTGGCTTCTGAGAAAACTGGCTGAGGTTTGTGTGTGTGGGCATGTCTGTGTGTATCCTACATTGATGCCCATTGCTTGCCAGGATAGGCTCTGGCTCCCCCTTTGCCCCTCTAATGGATAAAGCAGTGAGAAAATAGACAGAAGGATCACTACTTTAGTAAGTGCTTCTTGGCTGCCTGTTTATAATCCAATGCTCTACAGTGATGGTTGAATAGAACAGATAGGCACTCCTACAGGGCCAAATATGTAGTCATGCATTCATGCTGTATTCAAAAGTACAGAGAGCGAAACCTGCTGAAAAAAACAGCAAAAAACTTTGTCTCCAAGCCTCAAAACAAATTTGCCAAATCTCCTCAGATCATATCCCCTTATGTTTACCTAAAAAGCATAGGTAATGGCAAAGCCTTGCCAAAATAATTGGGGCAAATCAAATAAACCTTCGTAAATGCCCTCTGCCAACACAGGGTTCTAAAGAATGCCAAAAAACTATGATGTTCCTCTCACCCTCTCCACTAGTGAATTTCAACTACTCTCATCTGGGAGACCCATCTGTGTCCCTGGGTGTAATGGTAACAGACTCCAAAAATCTTTCATTCCCTCTGCAACCTCTCTCTCAAACAATGTAAAATAACTCTCGTACTGTATACGTCCTGTAACACTGTTGTACTATATTCTTTGCTGGTGAAGTTTGTCTTTTTGTTGTATTGTTGTGCTGAACCCTGCCGTAAGACAAATATTCCCCAGAGGATAATAAAGCTTGAATAGAGTTGGCAATCTCTACACTACTGGGCACCTCCTTCCCTACAAGCAGACATTTTGTTGGACGAATCAGGCACAAGTACTCCCCACACACAAGTCTTATTCTCTCTGACCATGCCAATGAATGGTCAAGCCTTTACCTGTGACGACGTTGATGTCAGGGTACAAGTCTTCAGAGAGAGTGACTGCAGTGCTGTCACGCTCAAAGGCATCCCTCAGCTCCTTTTTCACAGCAGCTGAGCCACAGAGACGGTAAAGTCCCACCACCTGCCGACCCAACCACACAGAAAAAAACAGGAGGATTCTAACAACTATTCCATTTAAAGTTTCAAACTGTTTTTTACCTCCGTACATTTTAATTCATTTCATGGGCTGTCACTGAATGTTTTTCCAAGTCCTGTACCTAGTCATGTAACACAACCTTATTTTAAACGTTAAAATAACAGATTTTCAAACTAGTGAAGTGCAAGTCTTGTTCCTACAAACACTGCAGAATCCCTGGTCCGCATGAGTCACACACACACATATCCTTCTATACCGGTTTCTGTAGTTTATCTAAAAGACTGACCTTGAGACCTCTTTTCTCAATCTCAGAGACACTCTTTTGGATAATCAGGGGCACTTTGATTGCAGAACCCTCCTTCTCCACCAGTTGGCGCAGCTCTATGCCAAAAACCCTGGGCTCCTGGTCACTGGGCTTGGCTGGGGTATCCCATTGCTCCACAAGAGTCAGCTTCACGTACAGCAACCCCCGAGGTTCCAATTTCACTGCTAGCTGTTGGGAGCGGGACCCTGAGGACAAGAGAGAGACAGCATCACCTTTTTGAAAAATACAGCAAGTGTACCATTGCAAAAACATAATCATCTTATCTGTGGGCTTACAGCTGAAATATCTTGTTATATCTTGAAATACTGTATCTGGTTGCTAGCCAGTGATTGATCTGACAATCTCATTCAGCAGTTTCTTGAAAGGATATTAGCTTTGGCAGCACTGCTGGGCAGGTGATTCCAAACACCCACAACCCTTTGTGTAAGAAAATACCTCTTGTTTTTAGTTGTAAATGCCAGACTTTAAATTCTTAAACTTCTCAATTCATGATAACGGATTGGCTTCATTCTGAAAGTCTTGTCACTCCACATAAAACTGTAGATTTAACCAATTCTGGTGATCCCATAAACAAAAAACGTTTTTTTTGTCCAGTGTTTATGTACTTAATTGTAGCTTAGTGCTTAGTGGAAAGAGTCCTGAACTCGATGAAGACAAGGCAATCCAACTTTCCTATTCCTCATTAGCATAAACTTTTGACAAGTACTTCTCATTTAGCTTTTCACCATTGGAAGAAAAAGAAAATCTTCTTTTAGAAGAAAGTTGGGGCTGATCTTTGTTTGCAATATCGGTCGGAGCTGCCTGGTTCCTCTTTCTGTTTTTACTTACAACTCCGTTCAGTAGTGCATGTGTATGACATCTCCCAGAGGTGAGGTTATCTATCCACCTTTTTTCCATAAAGCGTTCTGGAACCATCATAGACAATCCTTAGGAAACTTGTCATTAATCTCTTGTGTACAGTATGCACTGCCTGTGGGAAGCTATAAACACCTTTTCAACATGTGTCTTTTAGGAGTCACCTAGAATTTACTGAATGTATTCTTCTTTCTTTTAATATTTTATATTCATTCCTTGCTCATACCTGCCCCTGTGTCATGTAGCACCCATTCTCTCTATTTTTTTTTTAACAAGATGATCTTGTGGGTTTTGAAGAACAAGGAAATTATTCAAAAAAAGTCCAAACTGACCCCCTGAAAGGCCTTATGGCCACATTCACTAAAAATAAAACATCATTAATTCTTTTCCATCTGATTTGCAAGATGTTCCCAGAGCCCTCTAGAGAGAGACTCGCTGGCATATTTTAATAAAACATGAGACTGCAACCTATTATGGCTAACCGACAACTCACCAGTTCCTTAGACAGTATGAAAAATTCTGGTCACACAGCAACATTTTTCTTGAGCTTAATTTCCACTAGCACAGCTGCTGAGAAGGGATCATTGCATTGACACAGGTGTACTATACAGGAACTCAGCCTTAGTCTAAATAAGGCACAAGCAGCAAAATGACAGAGAAGAGAGCTAATAGTCTCCTCTTGTTTTTAACCTTTATCATCTTTTTATAATATCCATTATCAGCAAAATGAGGGTCATGTGAACTGGGCATTCCTCCAAGAAGCACATCACAGGGCACACACTTACACATGTGTACACCTGCAAGTACACATCTAACACCATACTCATTCAAGGCCCCTCAGGACAATTCCGGATCACCCAGATGGCATCTTGTACCTCCAGCAACCTTATTTACTGTATCTCTTGCAGTAAATGCCCAGCCATCTACATTGGAGAAACAGGAAGGAGACTCTGAGACCACTTCGGAGAACATGTTAGGGCTGTGAAGATTAAAGATCTCTCCAAGCCCGTTGTTTCTCATTTCACCTCTTGACAGCCACGACCACTCTAATCTCTCCTTCTGTGTTCTCAAAGACGGTTTTCCCAACTCATACATCAGAAAGACTACAGAAACCAAAATTATCCTGCAGCTAGGATCACGCCTTCCCCCTTCTCTTAACGACAGACTACTTTTCACACCTCTTGATTGGCCACTGCTCCCACCTCTCGCTCCTCCTCTCTCCCAGCTTTTGTTCTCCCACTACATTACCTTTGCTTACTGCCCTGTTTTTCTCACACCTGAAGAAGGCTCCATGGCTGAAATGTTGTGTTTTCTTTCTTCTTTTTTTTCAGTATGGAATAAACCTATTATTTCTTCCTTTGCAGCATACACATGCTGACACATCTACCCACCTGAACTACTACAAGCACACATGCATACACACGAGGATAATTTAGACATATTGTAAAATAACTGATATGCAGTAGCACATGCTGGAAAGGTGGGAGGAAACTGAATCATCCAGAGACATTAATGCAAACTGCACACAGAAGGCACCACAGTTTTCAGGGTTCAAAGCCAAGAGCTGTGTCACCACACCCTCTTAAAATCAATGGCTTTCTTCCTCTTGCAATTCATTCTGAAGTGATCTAACCTTCATCAATGCCATTCAATATGTGAATGAGCATTTTTGGCTACAGCTTGCCAATAGTGGAAAATCAGACGTTGGGCATTTTAAAAGAGTGGCTCCAACAGCAAAACTGTGCTTTCTCTGGTTGATCAGTACATGATGTTTTGAGTTTTTAAGCTTTTCCAAATTCACCCCTGGCAGAGAAACCCAGCCTTACCTCTGAAAAGGGGCGGGATGGCGACTGCCCCCAAGCAGCAGACCCGATTGCGACTGGCACTGGGGTCTCGTGAGAAGACCACCAGCTTGAGCAGCTGGGCACGCTCCAGCTCCAGGTTGAAGGTGTGGTTGAGGCTCAGGAAGGTGCCCCGGCAGGTGAGCAGGGCAGTGCGGGCACGGGTCACCCCATCCACCTGGATGGCGCAGAAGACCTCCTTGGAGTCCACGCGGGGGGACTTCACCTCCTCCAGCCTGTATAGGTGGACGCTCATCAGCCCTGACAGCCTCTGGGCACACCGGGGCTGCTCGGCCAGGCTGTAGGGGCGGAAAGCAGACGGATCGAGAACCCCCGCACCTTCCTGGGGGTCATGCTTGGCGATCAGCTCGGGGGAGTCTCCGTCACTCAGGTAGCCCCCCTTGCTGGCCGACTTGCCCCTCCTGGAAGAGCGTCTGGGGGGCCGCTCGGGGGCCGAGACGCTGGAGTCCAGGTGGTAGCGGCTGATGACGTTGCCCGATTCCTTGCGGGCGTTGAGTGGGGAAGTGCCCTCCGTTTGCCCCTGGCGCTGGCTACGAGAGGAGCGCAGGCTGAGCTTGCGTCTCAGCTCGGGCAGCTTGCGCATCTTCATGGAGAGCCGGCGCACCGTGCCAGGCGACTTGATGCGATCCATCATGCCAGGCTTTTTCTGGGCACCAGGGCTGTCCGAGGGCCCACTGGCACCAGAGGGCTCCGACTGGCCAGCCTGTTGGGCACCATCTGGGAAAGGGAGAGAAAAATGATGTGTCCTTAACACTTCCTTTCACATCAATATAATAGTTATTATCTGCAATTTGAATTCCCAATATAGCAGCTCAAGACTTCATTGTTAGAAAGACAGAAAACCTCTCTGCATTTAAAACTAGCAATCTCCATTTAAACTTTTTCTGCCAGTCTCAAAATCTCAACTGTGTGATATTTTATTCATATACCTCAGTGGGAACATTGGGCTGCAGGGAATTAATTAGACTGCTGTTTTATACTGTCTGCATTCTATGACTTATCTCAATTCTTGCTTGAAATCCAAAGATGTGCTCAGTGCCACTGTCAGCTCCCATTCCTGATTTGATTTCTGTGCTGCCAGGTCTAAACAGCTACCAGTCAAAAATTTAATAACAGCAGTGCGCACATGGTCTGTTCCTTGACCTCTTTCAGGCCAGTGGTTAAAATAAAGAAAATCAAAATGGTACAGTTATTTTAATAGCCTTTCAAGACCATGAACCACAATGCCATGATGCAATCATGTCACATTCTGCAAATCATTAAACAATCATGAAAATCAGAAGTGTCAAAACTGATTAAAAAAAGACCTCCCACAAATCTTCATAAATGGTGGCAGAAATTAGGAAGGCAAGTTACCTGAATGGTCGTTCCTGTGAGTCGCAGTGCTCTCCACAGTGAGCTCTTTGGTACAAACTGCAGGCTGATTAGCGCATGCAGTCCTGGAAATACTTGAGCTGCTTGCAAGAGCCTGGGTGTCACTGTTGTGTCTCTCAATTCTCGGTACCCTGTTAGGTTGCCCTATGATCCCAGCCCGTTTCCGGGCCCAACATTCCTTCTTATTGTCCATAGAGCCTTCCAGCTCACGTTTTTTCCAGGGATTGCCATAGTCTGCTGCCATCTTCCCACAGCGAGAATCCTCCTCCTCTGGGATAGGGTTGTACCAAATATTCCCTTTGCTCTCCCCATCTGTCCCCTGCTTCCACTCTGCCAGACAGTTAGGAGGAAACCGAAGGCCTTCATCGGATGCCTGGGGTTTTCCTGTGGAGAGAACCCAGGCTCGGCTGCTTCGTTCCAGGCTCTGGAGGTAGGCTCCCTGACCTGTGATTTTCACAGAACTAGATGCCGCACAGTGGTCTGTGTAGCTCAAGCATGGCCTAGTGAGCTCAGGGACCCCTGAGCTGAATGAGTACTGTTCTGAGGAACCTTTGTAGGAAACTGCTTCTCTTTTTGGTGGAATCTCAGAAGCTTTCTGGGAACATTCCTTGCTGTCTACAATGACAGACTTCTGCGTCATAGAAAAACTTGACCAGGCAGATTTGAGGCTCAAGACCTGGGATTTTCCTTGACAGCCTTCCCATTCCTGAGTCCTTGAGCCTAGGCTACGAGGCCCATCAGTGCTAGGTATGCAGCTATTGTCCCTGCAAGCAGCTGAACACTTGGCCCAGTTTTGTTTTTTGGAAACTGTAATGAATGTCCCTCGTTTGCATGGTTCTTCTACTGTTTGGCTGGTTTGGGATTGCCCAACATCGGTCTCGGACAAGGAATCAGGCAGTGTCTTTGATGGTATGTCTGCAGACAAACAGAAAAGGAGTTAAATTTGTGGTCAATCTGAATTTTGCATAGCTCAAAAAAAGCCAATTTTAAAATGCAGCACTGAATTTACTATCAAGTGATCCACACATCTTGGACACAGTTTGAATGTGCTGTTTATGATCCTTGCTGTTCCTCTTCATTAAATGCACCATGCCCTAATTGTGTCCTGTGTAATTTACAGCTGCAGTGTCATTTTGAAGTTCCATAATTTTTTGGAAGTGAACATGCCCTGGAAAAGACAGTTTTCCATCTGGATAAAATCAATGCAAATTGCACTGAACCGTGCAAGTAGAAATGCAAAAAGAAGAAAAAAATGCACAAAATGTAATTGCTGCCCTGAAATCAAACTCAACATATGCAGGTGGGATTTGCCAGTTTTGTATCGGTAAGTCCCCATGCTTATAACTGACAGCTGTCAATCGACTCACTACTCTAATTACTGTCCAGATACAGGAGGGATATAAACTAAATATGCATCCTTAAACTCATTATGACATCGTCTGTGTGAAACAACTGTAACCAACAGATGATGTGAAGTCACAATTTGACATGGGACCACAATTGTGACAAACAGTGTCCTGCATCGAGTCAAGGGGCGATGCATCTCTTGTTGCCCATTCGCAAACTGTCCTAAGCAGTTCAAGGCTTCTAGCCAGCCTGAATTTGTTTCACCATCTGGAGAATCATGATGGGCTAATGAGATACCAAGTCAAACACTCAACGTCTGAGCTCACTTTCTGTTTTACACAAGTGATTTTACTGGTTCATCTATTCGGGGGTCTTTAATCCTTTTTCTAGGGAACTGGGAGCTGGGAAAAACTAAACAATTGTCCTTCTGAGACTCAGCAATCTCCTTGCAGTTGTTGAGAGGGCTCCTGTCTTCATACTAGAAATCCTTTACACTCTTAAAAATGCCAGGAACCTCAAGAGTGGGAACAGAAAATCTCCACCAGTGTTACATTAAGGGGGCCATTTTATGCTTCACATTCCTGAAGTATTCCACAATTATTGGCTCTGTGTTAAGACTCAGCACAAACTCCTGATTTTATCACCACGTGACAACAGCTTTAGGACCTAATGTGTGTGAAATGAGATATCAAAACAAACTGCAATCACACTGGAAACAATATTGGTACAATGCATCAGATAAAAATGGTAAATAGTCTGCATGTACCATACAATTTAAGACTTCCATTTGAACAGCTTGCTCAGAAAGTAAGAACATTCCACAACATAATTTACAACTCAGCTTTACAGCTTCAGAGGAGACATCACTGTGAATCTCAAAACAAGGTACAGATTGATTCTGTCTCAAAAAATTTTTTTCTTGAGAGACTATGTAGTCCTTTTTCAGAATCTCAAGCTAGACCATGTTGATTTCAGCCCAAGAACTCCAATTAATAGGCTTTTGCCAAAGAGAGCATATCTGGCTGCAAATCCTTGGCAGTTTCCTTAATAAGCCATTGTGCCGTGCAGAACATCTGGGGCTCTCGTGTCATTGCATTTGAGCGGAGCCCAGGTGCCAAATCCTCTCGCAGACATGAGAGGATGCAGTACACATATGGCCTTTTCACTCTTTTCCGATCCGTCTAATGTCCTTCAGCTCCATCTGCACAGAAAGCAGGAACAGCACATGGAGCTCCTTAGATTATTAGTGAAGCAGACACATCACAAGCCAGTGACAGCTCACTAGGTCTCTCCTGCTGCCTACCTATTCCTATTCCTGCATCTGTATTCCTATCTTTCAATGAAATTTCCCATCCACCAAAAAGGGACAAAGGTAGAAGCTAGGTGCTCTATTTACCCATCCAACCATCCATCCATTTTATAACTGCTTCATCCAATTCAGAGTCATTAGGGATTCAAAGTCTATCCCAGAAAGAAATGGGCACAAGGCGGAATACACGTCAGGATGTCCACCACAGGGCATACACAGACACTAACACAGATACTGTATGCACATTCTCACACCAAGCCCAATTTCCCCAGAAGTCCATTAACATAACCAGTATGGCTTCGGACTGTGGGAAAAAACCTGAGCACCCAGCAGAAACCCACACAAACACTGGAAGAACATTTGGAGATAGCACCCCACAGACCTGGAATTGATCCCAGGGCCCCAGAACTGTAAGGCAGCAATACTAAACAGTGTGGCACCTTGCAGCCCTCTCTATCCTTCCACCAATCCCATATTAATGGATGCAATAAAAACTATTTTTTACATGTACAGAGCATGCAATTGGAGCTCAGTCAATTTATCTAAACAGAAAATATATTAAAGGCAAAAGGTGCTCTTAATGACAGGTATAGTGGATTCCAGAGCTCCACTCATTGTGTACTTGAGAGTACATAACAAGAGTGCATGTAGCTTTGCATTATAATATTTTTATTTGCATTACTCATTCCCATGGTTTTAAGTATTTGAACACAAAATATGAATTTTGTATGTTTAAAAGCTTCTAACATTATGCTAAAATGCTATTGACTGACAAGCTTTTCTACAATTTATAAATTGTACTCAGCATTAGGTTTGGGGCAGTGAGCAGTTGTGCTGTTAATGTGTGTTAGGAACTGAATGAGCTCCTGTAATGGAAATGTATTGATTCAGAAGCCCAGTTATTACTTGGGTTGATTTGCACTCCATAACTCTGTTGACTTTCACCATGAAGCCTGATGAGGTGATAGGTGAGTGAGGCTTGACTTTAAAAAAGCAACCTGACACACTTCATTGGAAGAAATCCCAGCTGCTGTTGGAAATGCTGCTGGTGGATCACTAGGTGGCACCCCTCCTCCTGGTTGAGAAATAAAAAAAAACTCTTGTCCAAATTGTCAACATGAGGTAGTGTGCTGAAGAAGGTACTATCTTTTAGATCTCCAAATAAACTCAGATGCCAAGATAAAAAAATGCCAAGTAGTTGTTTTTCCTTTCTGAACCTTCAAACATTTTCAATGCACTTTAGAAAACGGGAAGCAAACTTTACTCTGGAGAAAAATGCTTTGAAAATCATTCTGGGCGTAAGACTTTGATGCTGTTTCCATGCATTAAACAGCTCTGTGATCTCTCTCAGACAAAATGCACTTTTTTTTTTTAAGTGACAGTTTACATTGGTTTTAAATAACAGCACGTCCTGGACTGATCTTCCAATATAATTGATGCTATTCCAGAAAGTCCTAGAAAACAGTACAGCTGCTGCTGATGGATTTTGAAGTCTATACAAATATTTGAAACCAGCTGTCTGAGGAGGATTAAGGGGTTTAAAAAAATCATTATTTTTAAAAATATATTTTTTAATTTAATTAAATGATGAAGGACCTGGATGGCACAGTGACACCGTGTTTGTGTGGGTTTCCTCTGGGTTCTCTGGTTTCCTCCTACAGTCCAAAGACACACTGTAAGTGTGTGTCTGTGTCTTTTGTGCACTGTGATGGATAGGTGTCCCATTCAGGGTATATTCCTCCTTTCAGCCATTGCTTGCTGGAATAAGCTCCAGCTTCTCTGTGACCCTGAATTGGATGAACCAGTTAGAAAATATGTGAAAAGATCACTGAATGCTCTGAATGTTATGTCCCTGCTCAATCCCGGATGTTTGCGATATTCTGCTACTGCAAATATGAGATATTACTCCACTGAAATTAAAAGGGAATTAGCAAACAGACATCCAAGAAACGTAGCACGAGCTAAGTAGCTAAGTGGCTCTCTTTATCAGCTGAAAACAAGATGGAGTCTGATACACTCGACTAGTTTCACTGCAACTTGTTCTAATAGCGCAATTTATGGCTGCATGAATGTTTTCTTTGTTTGTGTTGGATGCTGGATGGCTGTAGACTTGGCCCTCAGACAGAACCAAGATGAGTTCCTCTGCCCTAAAGTGTTCTTCGACCCCTAGGTTTAAGAATAAATAATCGCATTTTTCACTGTCAAAAAATTATCATTATTTTAGATCTTTCTACTGCATTTTGTAGCACAGTGGTCTGGATCCAATCAAAGCTGAGCCACAACGAGCGACAACACAAGTCCTGAAGGTTTTATAATTCACTGGAAGTGCCTCTTGGGGTACAAAGCTGATGCCCACTCCACAGCCAGGGTTCGATCGTCATGCTATAAAGCGGAGGGGGGGGGGGGAGGTCACTGTGAGAGTCAGTGCCTGTGTGGAATTTCCCTGTCCCTGGTGAAAGCAACCACCAGGTTTTTCACACAAGCCCCATTTTGTGACGGAGAGGGCAGGCTCTGTTGGGCGGCCTGCCAGAGGCAGGAAGTGGAGCATTAAAGCCTGTGAAGTGGGTCTGCAGTCGTCTTCCTGTTCTTTCTAAGGAGGATCAGGGCTGGGAGCAGAGCAGGAGGGGGAGGGAGGTGGATAACAGCAGAGGCAAAGAAATAAAAAGGCACCACTGACCTAGCATGGTCGCCCTCGGTGATCCCTGCACTCAAAGACATTCCTGTGCTGCCCCAGAGCCCCACAAAAACAAATCTTCATTCACTATTCACACTATTCCCAAAAATACGCACACTGCATCATTAAATACCCCTCCCACCAAAGAAAATGGATTTTTTCCACAACCCAAACATGATATTCCCCTTCACTGTAGGAGGAGGTTGAGGGTTTTTTATCCTAAGGGGCAAAACAACTATCTCTCAACTCAACCCGACAAGTAAAGGTTAAAATAAATGGGTTTCGTTATTCACATTTGTGAATTATTTTTTAGAGGGAACTAAAGAACTTGAAGCCAACAATTGTATCAGAACTCACAGATCCTTTTTGCATGCTAGTGATACAGATGCTGTTTTGTGTTATTGAGATTTATGCCTTGTAACTTGGCTTCTTTTATCTCAAAATCCCCAAAATAATTCTATGCCAGTGCTATCCTGGTCTTGGAGAGCCAATGTGTCTGTGGGTTTTTTGGTCCAACTCAGCTCTTCCTGACCTAAATCATCTGGTTATTGGTTTAGCTGGACTAGTTTACCATCTTCTCTGAGC